TAATGAGAGGGGGAAAAGGAGGCACAGGAGTTATTTCAGAGAGCTGAGCGGTCCTTCACAGCTCTTGGATGGCAACACCACTTGTAGAGAGCAAACACATCCCCTCAGAGCAATTCAACCACCAGTTGCACAGATCCAGCCCTGGAAATTCCATCAATGGCAATTCCCCCTTGGACAGAGCGCTGCTGTGGGAATTTTCACATTTCAGTTGATGCCTCAGGTTTGGCTTTTCTATTTTTCAGATTCTGTGCTGCTTTAGTGTGAGGGTCTGGGCTTCACATGAGGGGATGCTGAGCTCTGCACAGAGCAGGGAGACAAAACAATTCCTGCTCCAGCTGGGCACCAAGGACAAATGATCCAAATCTCAGCCCAGGAGCACAAACACCGTGGGCTGGAGAGAGAAAAACAAGCAGGGTGGGACTGCCTGGGCTAAAGCTGGAATGGGACAATGAACTCCAAGGTGCCAATGGAGCAGAACTGATCCCAGGGAGAGCCCCCGGGAGCGCTCGTGCATTTTGGGACCATTTTGGTTCATTTTGTGGCCATTTGGGTTCATCTTTGGCTCATTTTGGGACCATTTTGGTTCATCTTGGGTTAATTTTGGGACCATTTTGGTTCATCTTGGGTGCAGCCCTGGCTGGGCTCTTGTGCTGCCCAAGGTGGATCTATGGAGTGACGGAACCCAGGCCTGGTTCTTCCCTCTACTTTGTGACTACTTCTACTATAATATCTAAACTTTTGTGACTTCTTGTTCCTCCTGCAAGGTTGGTAAATCATTCCATGGCTCAAACCCAAAATCACAGCTGTTTCCAGCTGCCTGTCAGGGTCTCAAATGCTTCTGACCTGGGCCCGGAACCTCCAAAAATGTCTGAGGGACATTTTGAGTTCCAACAATGGAGGAGATCCTTTTACTAATCCCTGCTTTATTCTTTATTCTGTCCAGCTCTGCTCTAGCTCAGTCTGCACAAGGCACCACAATATCCCACAGGAGCTGGCTGGGGGGAGCAGCAGCATCCCAAGGGACAGGGGAGGGACAGGGGAGGGACAGGGGAGGGACCTCACCTTCTGCAGAATGGTGTGGGACATGGAGGCGTTGGCATGGACGATGATGGTGGCTGTCTTGTCATCTCGGATCTCCTTCAGGAGCGGGGTGGGATCCCGGCTGTCATCCAGCATCCGCACCGACAGCGTGTCCTTGGAGATGAGGAACTGCCGCAGCAGCTTCTCCAGGTTTAAAAGGCCTTGGGAGGAGAGAGAGAGAGAAAAAGAACAGATCCCTCTGAATGTGAGGCTTGGTTCTCCATGGAACACGGTGATCCATGGCAGGATGCATTCCTGAAGTTCTGGGTCTGTGCACTGCAAAGGAAAGGATTTGGGGCTCAGTGCTTGGTCCAGCAGGGAATGAAAAATGATGCAGTTATTATTTTTCCAGTTATTCCAGCTGTTCCCCAGAAAAAGGGAGAGGAAAGGAAAGGATTTGGGGCTCAATTCTGGGTTCAGCAGGGAATGAAAAATGATGGATCTATTCCAGCTGTTCCCCAGAAAAAGGGAGAGGAAAGGAAAGGATTTGGGGCTCAATTCTGGGTCCAGCAGGGAATGAGAATAATGGAGTTATTCCATCTGCTCCCCAGAAAAAAAAAAAAAAAAAAGAAAAAGATGTGGACAGTATTTAGGACTCATTACTTGGTCCAGCAGGGAAGGAGAAGTGATGGAGTTACTCCAGCTCTTCTCCAGGAAAATAAAGTGTCCTCAGACTCATCTTTGGAAGAGATAAGACCTCCAATACAAGGTCCAGACAAGGTCTCCATTCTCTCCCTGCATGTGGGATTGTTTTGGTTGCTGGAGGATTATTCCTCCCCCTCAGCCCTTCCAAATTAGGTGCCCAGAAGGTGCAGCTTTTTTGGAGATCTTGGAGCACTCTGATGGGCAGCTGTTCTCTTCCAAGGGGATGAGAAGCTCTACTGAGAGTTGGAGATCACTGCAAAAACACAACTTTAAAAAATCGTGACAAAAATAAGCATGGGCACGTCAAGGCCTCCTTCCAACACAGCTGCCTTGAAGCCTAATAAGATGTCAAAACTCCTGCTGCAGATTTTGTTAGTCAGGAAAGCAGCTTTGATAGAGTCTCTCTTGTCTCCAGCTGCTGAGTTTCATCAAGAAATAACCTCCTGCCAGGTTTGATTGACCAGAGGAACCAGCAGATGGATTCGTCAGCCAGACACAGCCAGCATAGCCACACATCCCCTCCCCACGGGAAGACAGCCCCAAAAGAGAGCTGGAGAAACAGAATTATCAGCAGGATCACAGCCCAGCTGGCAGAGAGGCAAATTAACCCTCAAGTCAGAGTTTTACTTTTAACCTGACTTATTTTTGACTGCACCAATCCACTCATTGCCCAGCAGGGCAGGAGGCAGGGAAGGGTCACAGCAGGATGGGATCAGTGCTGAGCTCTGCCCTCAAGGACTCCCAGCACTTCACCAGGTAAGAAAGCAGTGCAGGGAAAGGGACACATCCAAGATGAGGAACCTCTCGTTCACAGGGAGAGGTTTAAAGCACTCTGAGTTTGCTCTGAGCTCCTGGCAATGCCCTTGCCTCTCCCCTTTTCTCTGGGTACAGGCAGGAACGCAGCAAAGGGTTATAAAAACAGCTGGGCCAGGACTTTTCTGGGTCACATCAGCTTCTTCTTCTTCACCAGGCAGAGAATTCACTCTGCTTCCAGCGCACAGGGACCTCACCTGAACACTTCCTTTGTCTTCTAACCCAGGTGAACAGTAAATTTTACCTAAGCCCTCCATTTGACCCTTGAGGATGTGGAAAGTTTTATTTTCACCTCGTTCCACATCTGCAGGGGACCAGGCAGGCTGCCTCAAATTACAGCCCTGACACCACCAAGTTTACTTGCAGCTCATCCCAGCTAACTCTGCTGCTCTCAAACCCAGGAAAATTTTTCTAAAGCTCATCAGGCACAGAGAGGAAGAAGTGAAACCAGAAGGGAGAAAAAAAAAAAAAAAAAAATCATTTGATCTCCACCTTCAGCTCGAGGAAATTATCATTTCCAGCATGTTAGATCCTACCTGTAGCCTCTCCAGCCTCCTGCTTGCAGCTGCTCTTGCTGAGTGCAGGGAAGTCTCTATTGTGCAGAGATTCCCCTTTGTTTGATGCTGAGAGGATGTGAGACACTTGCTGCTGCTGCTGCTGCCAGACTGGCACTTCAGAGGGATGTGAACATCAGCAAAGGCTTGCAGACTCCTCCTGCCACCTTTGAAGTACTAAAGTGAGGACAGAGAGGCTGCACCAGGCACCTGTTGCTTGAACACTCCCATGGGGAGCTCTGAGAGAGGTTCAGGCTGGCCTGTGGCAAGTCCTGACCTTGATTATTTGATTTTTCCTTATGCAAACATCTGGAGCTTCCCCACTCTTGAGCTCTCAGCAGCAGAGCTGCTCCTGAGAAGGAGGAAAAGCAGGAGCTGGGGCTCTCCTGGAGTGCCACATCCCTGTTTAGTGCTCCTGTTGATGGAGGAGCTGCTCCTGGAAGGAGGAAAAGCAGGAGCTGGGGCTCTCCTGGAGTGCCACATCACATTTTACTGCTCCTGCTGATGGTTGCAGTCCTGGACATGGATGGTTGGGAAGAGAACATTGCCATCATCCAGACTCGCTTTTAATCCCAACAGTGTTGCTTCAAACATCTCCCTGGGTGTTTGAATTTAAAAAACAATGTATTTTAAAAAAGGATCAAGGATGTGCACAAGGCCTTGGACCTCCGTGCCCTGGTCACCCTTTCCAAGCATTGGGTGTTATTCCCTCCCCTCTGGCAATCAGAGAAGCTCTTAAAAAGCCCATACACTCCTCTATTTGCCTTTTTGGGTTAAGATTTCTGTGGAATTGCACAAAATCTTCCAGAGCAGTTCCCAAACCAGCTAATTCTTGAACATCCCAGAGAAACTGAGTCAGATAATCTTATTTTATCCACCGAACCAAGTCACACAAATCTCCTTCTGTTCATGTCATTGCATTTTACATTCCCCAGGGCATTACACTTAGGCTGGCCCAAGTCCTTTTGTTTTAAGGGTCATTTTCTGCTCCTGCCAGGGTAAATCACAGCCAGTCCCCAGAGGGAGGCTGTGACAGGATGAGTGTGGCAGGGGAGGGCCCAGGGGTCCCATCACACAGCCTCGCACTTAAACCAAAGCAGCTCCAGCTTGCTCCTCCTGGGATCTAAATAATAACATCCCTCAAAGCAGCATTTCCTCACTGATGAGCAGGAAGCTCTTATGCTCCCCTCAGCTGCCTCAAGGGAACCTTCCAAAAGCCTGATGTGCCTCCAGTTAGTTGCTTAAGGACTGTGCTTAGGAGCAGTGCATATCCTAAGGGAAAATCAGGGCTTGTGCTCCTACACGAAGCTCAATTAATGTCTGTGCTCTGTAAAAGCCAGGGACCTCATAAAACAGGAAAGCTGGCCAGACAGAATGCACATCCAACCAATATGATTAATGCAATGTTCTCCCTTTATTCGAGAGAAGATGGCAGTTTTTATACACCTCTATACAGTTTACAGTTTACAAAGGCACTCTCATTGGCAAGCGAACATTGTTTGTCTTTGTCTTAATGTGGCCTAAACCTCACACTATAAACCTGTACTACTTCACACCCAGACAGCCCAGTGCTCCCCATCACACCTTAATACAATTTCTGACTGTGCCACAAACTTTTAATTTCTAACTGTGCCACAAACTCTTAATTTCTAACTACGCCACAAACTCTTAATTTCTAACTGCGCCACAGGCTGGAAGGCCTCGCAAGGCCCAGATCTGAGGCCTAGACTGGAGTAGCTCAAATCTCATTCCAGACATAAATCATGCCCCCTCTCTCTCAGAAATGCTGCAACACTCTGTTTAACAGAGTTGGGGAATGTTGGGCTTCAAGCCTGGCTCAGATCAGGTCCTTGCTGAGCACAGAGAGCTGGAAGGATGAAGGAAGGATGAAGGAAGGATGAAGGAAGGATGAAGGAAGGATGAAGGAAGGATGAAGGCTCCTGTCCCACTGCTTCCCTGGGTCTGGGGAGGACTCAGCGCATCTTAAATATTGAGTTATCCAGCAGCAGCACCAGGGCTGGGTAAATTGGATTGCTTCAGGTAAGAGGGTTTGATCCAGCTAAATAAAAATCATATTAATCATATTCATGCCAGTGGGAGACACCCTGGCCAGGAGCAGGGCAGGGGTGCAGAGCCCTGAGCCTCCTGCACGGCAGCTGAGAAAACCTCATTATCTTTGCTTCCCTTCTTGCTTAAGGTGAAGGTTAGACAATGAAAAATCCCAGCTCTGGGAGTGATGTGGGAGACCATTTGCATGATTTTAATTGCATCATTTTGAGCCAGGGCCTTTCCTGGGGTGGATGTGAGCACTGCTCACCAAAAGTGATTTACTGACCTACCTCAGCCTGCTGTCCTTGGGGCACAGAAAGCACAAAGGAGAGGCAGAGACACTCCTGCTCCCCAAGCCCCTGTGCAGGAACCCTCCACAGCAGCTGCTGATGGGGCCTTTGCCCAGAGCTGACTGAGAGCTCCCATCAGAGAGCAGCGTTGCCCTCATTTTTAAGCGTTTTCTTTTATAGTTCTTTTGAAAGTTTTAAAGTTCTCATCAAACTTCTTTAGCCTTCTGATGATGTTTACATATTTGAGAGTCAGAGTTCCCACACAATTTCATGTATCGATAGAATAGTTTACTTATTTCTCTGTGGGTGGAGAGAAATGATTGATTGATCTTTGGAGCAGTGTGGTTGAAGAGGTGGTAATTCCATCCTCCAGTCCACGGCCACCTTTGGAGTTCTATAAATACCAGATGTTTAAATAAAACTGGGCCTTTTTTTGCTTTGAACTTCCCAAGCTTCTGTGTTCTCATTTTGTGTCCAATAGCATCTCCATGGGCCTTTCCAAAGCTCCTCTCCCAGGCTGTTTCTGGCAAACTCCAGAGCTGATGTGGCCACCCCAAATCTACGGCACAGCGACCTCAGAAAGCACAGGACACACTCAGCTCCAGGGGTTGGGATGCAGCCTGCTGCTGCCACACCAGGAGCTCTGCAGGGATGGAGGTGGTGGCCCTGGAGAGATGGAGATGGCCCTGGAGAGGTGGAGATGGCCCTGATGAGGGTGGACATGGCCCTGCTGAGGGTGGACATGGCCCTGCTGAGGTGGACATGGCCCTGCTGAGGTGGACATGGCCCTGCTGAGGTGGAGATGGCCCTGCTGAGGCGGAGGTGGCCCTGCTGAGGCAGAGGTGGCCCTGCTGAGGTGGAAGGTTCCACTGTCCAGATGCACAATCACCAGCAGATGCACAGGAAGGCGTGTACCGTGCTATTACTCAAATCCTGCTTTTAGGCCACAAACAGCCCATGGCTTTGGGCAAGCCATATTTCAAAGTGCTTTACTTGCTTAAAAATAATCTCCAGAAACAGGCCTACACCTTTCTTAATTTTTTTTTTCTGTGGAAGTCCCATCTGTGGAAGCAAAATGCTCTTCAAACTGAAGGCAGGATAATTTCTCCCCATCCCCTTTCCTCCTCTGAAAAACTTCTCCTTGGAGCACCAGGGTGGAGAAACTGGAGTGGAAAAGGCTGCTCTGATCAGAGACATGAGGACCTGGGACCTTCTAGAGCAAACATAAAGGAGATGAAGCAGAGGGGCCTGGCCAAGACTTACATTCAGCTTTGGCACAGATGAGGCAGGCAGTGGTGCAGTTGAAGAAATTGAGGATTCCTGCCACGGCCACACTGATGTCGGTGTTGCTGGGGTGGAGGTTGAGGGTGGTGAACCTCTGGAGCTGCAGCTTCAGGAACTCCTCCGGAGCCACTTTGAAGTGAGGAACCTGAGCGTGGGGAGGAGGGAAGAAAATATAATTAAAGAGGAAGTAGAAATAAAAACAAGTAAATCTGTGATAAAGGGCCTGTGGTGTGAAACACACAGCAGGCAGAAAGTGGAATATCCCAATAAAACTGCAGAAGCAGCACTGGAGTCAAGAGGGGAGGGTGGGACTCGTGCAGCAGCAGAGAAAAATAATTATCACAGCAACGAAAAGCCACGGGAAGGAGCGGAGCAGGAAAAGTCTTGCTGAGCCACTCAGAGAAAAGCATCGGGGACTGTGATTACAGCACAGGAAACCTTCCATGTGAGTCCAACCTAATTAGCTGGGGCACTAATTGTAGCTGGGCCCAGCCTTCGTTTGGGAAGGATGCTGTGCAGGACACAGGGATCATCCAGAGCTGTGAGTCCAGCTCTGCCTGCTGGATGGAGGCGCCACCAGGTCATTAATTAGCAGAGATGAAGGCAAGAACAAGATGACCCCGTGCTGGAGAGGCTGGGCAGAGGAAGAGCAGCTGCGGCAGCCAGAAGCTTTGGGCATTTCTGATCAACAGGAGGCCAGACAGGGCTGGAAGCAGCAGTGCTGGGCTTGTCACTGATGCAGGAGCAGCAGCTGGAGCGGGATGCTGCTCCACGGGGAATTTTGGGAGCTGGGAAGCCGCAGGGCTGGCTCTGAGGAAGCTCTGCTGCACATCCTGCAGAGCAGAGATGGAACAGACACACAGACAGAGCCCAGACACTGCGGGCTCAGCCAGACAGAGAGAGGCAATCTTGTTTTCCTTCTGCCTCTTTTGGAACAAGCAGAAGTCGGAGAAAGGGAAACATCTGCCACAGCTTTGTTAGCAGCGTGTCAGGTCCTCTCTCCCTCCATTATTGGTCCTTCCGAAGCCATCAGCCCCTGCCTCCCACCTCCCTCCTCCTGGGAGAGCCTGTTAGCAGCTCCTGGAGGCTGCTTCATTGGCAGCAGGAGCTGTTGGTTAGCAGAGGGGAACTTAAGGAGCAATAAGCTGCTCTCTGCCTTGATCCAGAGGTGGGTTCCTGTAACCAGAGCAGACAGGGCAGCTCCTGGCAGCACGCTGATCCCTGCTGGGAGCGATCCAGACCCAGCCTGGGACTCGGGCAGGGGTGCAGACACGGGGGAGGAATCCAGCAGCACAGCAGCTGCCAGGGCTGAGCACAGCCCTGGTCACCCCCTGCCCTCACCCCAGGAACCTCCTCTCCTGTCCAAGAGCTCTGCCCTGCTGGAAGAAAAGGCACCCCTCCCTCAGGGAAATGCTGATGTCTGCTCCAGATCAGAAGGCTGAAGGAGAGCTTTATTAAAACTACACTATATTACATTAATATACTATTTAAAGTGATGCTATTTTATTCTATATATTTATTTCTTACTTATCTAACTCAAACTCATGACTCTGCTGAGAGCCCAAGCCATAGCTGGGTCCCACTGGTCACTGACCCCAAACAACTTCCCCAGAATCCAACCCAGGTGAACAATCTCCACACCACATTCCACATGGGGAAAACCGAGCAGCAGAGATAAAGATTGTTTCCTCTTCTTCTCCCTGTGCTTCTCCTGAGAGACAGAATTCTGTCTGTCTGTCCAGAGAATGTGAATGCCACATTGCCCCAGTGCAATTCCCATTTGTGGATGGGGGAAAGGGATTGAGGAACACAGGGCAGGTTCATCCCCCAGAGCATCAGTCACCCCAGCTGGTGCTCGGTGGTTGCCTGGGGACACTGCTCTCTGTCCCTGAGGGGTGGCTGCAGGCACAGAGCGCTCTGGCTGGGCTCTGTGTCCCGGCTGATGCTCCTGGGATGTAAATCCCACCGAGTTCCTGCAGGTTTCCATCATGTGGAGGGCAGCCGAGAGAACCAAACACCTCAGGAGGGCACCAGCGCTCACCTCTCCTTTCTGAAGAAAGGATCAGCAGCCTCAGATCAGAGGCTCAGAATTAATCTGAATTTCAGAGGAAAAACACTTGCAGAGTTGCATTTCTTTGGATGCAGCACATGTCCAGGGCATTTAGCAAGAGAAAATGCTACAAAACACACCCAGGAGACCCCTCCTGCTGCAGCCCCGTGCATCAGGGCTGGAAGATCCCTTCCATCTCTTCCACACCCCAGGAACAAGGACCAGGACTCGCTTGTGAATGCAAATTATTTACAGTGCTCAGTCCCAGCCTCCTCTCCTCCATGGCTGGGCTCCAGAGAAAGCCACTAAATGGCTGAGAGATGTTATCTGCCTTTAAAGGGATGAACTGTGAGAAGAGAACTCAATTTCTTCTCCGGAGTGCAGAGCCAGATCCGTGCAGCACGGTTTGAGGCTTATAAAATATTAAATCCAGCACAGAGCCTGGACACAGATAAAAAAAGGGGTCGAACTGGATGGAACAGCAGTAAACACAAAGCTCCCCGAGAATGGGCACAAAGCCACAGCAGGAGCTTTGGGTTTGCATCCATCAGGGCAAGTTTGGGCTTTGCAGCCCTCAGTCAGCGGGGACGTGGCTGGGTTGGTGGATGTGAGGGGAGTTGGAGCAAAAGGGGGTGCAGAGAGGAAAAGAAGGCAGAAAGAGGGAGCAGAGGGGAAATGAAAACATTTTGAAGGTCTGTGCATTAGGAGGAGGGTGATCAACCATGCTGCACACTCTGAGCATCACAAAGGAGCTTCACTTACCTCCTTCTCCCCACAGATGTTGCTGATAATCGAGCTGGAGGCTGGGCTGGAGGAGGGTCCCAGAACTCCCACCACGCCTTTGGGGAGAATCTGGCACACTGTGGGCAGCAGAGAGAGGGAACAGAGGTCAGGATTCATCCCAAAATTCCAGCAGACAGTCGTGCTCACAGTGCCTGCTGCACCTCAGTAAGGACATGGCCTCAACACCCTCTCTGCCATTTCCATCCCCAAAATCCCTTTATTCCCCCTGAAGCATTGTCACCCTGCCTGTGGCACTCTCCATCTTCCCCCAGCCTTTTAAAACTTCACCTAAACTCTCCTCAAAACCCCAGAATCTTAATTTCTGACCCCTTTCTGTCCCCAGGAGAGAAACATGAACTAAACTTTATGAAGATGCTACACACAGCAGTGACCCAGCTTCAAAGCATCAAACAGACTTGTAAGAATTTCTCCCCTCATCTCTGCAGAGTTCAGTGGTAAAAACAAGGATTTCATTGCTGGTTTTCATTTGTTTTGTGTTGTTTTCTGCCTGGCAGTAGTTAAACCTTCTGGCTCCCTGCCACCAAGGTTAGCAGAACCATAAAAAACACTTGACAAACTGAAGTTAAATCTCTTCCCAGGTTAAATTGCAACACTCTTTTTGGTCTGTTTAATTCACAGCACAAATCCAGCTGAATTTCACTACCAGCAGCAGCCAAGCTGGTGTCACCTCCCTGCTCCATCCCCATCCCCTGCATGGCTCAGAACCTTTCCTGCAGAGCAGGAAAATCCTCCTGAACAGGAGCTGAGAGCCCCTCACGCCTCAGTCCCTGAGCTCCTGAGAGCTGACCTGCCTCAGCACCCTCACACACTCAGCTTTTTCCCCAGACAAAGCCATATTTGCTCAACTGGAATCTTTCTGAAGAAACTGGATACTGAAGGAGGCACCAAAATGGAGAAAAGAGGCACCAAAACTCTTATGAGTTCTGGCCAGGGCAAACTCACAACATTTCTGTGTGTGCAAACCAAACCACTGCATCCCAAAGCTGAGATTTCAGCTCTTGTCACTATCAAACCTGCCTCTTGCACCTCTGAGCAGCTCTTGGGAGGCTTGTGAAGAGTTATTTGAGCTGGAAAAATTCAAATCTGAACACGGTTCTTTTTGGTAGTAAAGTGAATTCATCATCAAAACTGCTGAGCTACAGATCAGAGCAGGGGTTTTAGTGACTTTGAGTCTTTAAATCAAGGCTGGCAGTGGAATAAAAGCTCACTGTGCTTGGGGTGGTTTTAGAACAGCAAGTTTGGGGTTGACTGTGGGGTTTGGGAAGTGAACATCTACAGTTTCAAGTTTTCCCAGAGAAGCTGTGGCTGCCCCTGGATCCCTGGAAGTGCCCAAAGCTTGGAGCACCCTGGAAGTTGGCCCTGCCCATGGCAGGAGGTGGAACAAGATGATCTTGAAGGTTCCTGCCAATCCAAACCATTCTGTGATCTCTGGCCTTAGATTCCTCCACAGCCTCACGACTGGAATGTGAGGCCCAAATCTCATTTAATTTGTCACTTTGGGGAATTGGTTTTGCTTCTCTTTTGAAGGAAAAACTCCTTATCCTCCCCAGTCCCTGCTGATTGCTCCAGCTTCTTTCAGAAAGTGCTCATGAAATGCAAACATCTCCTCTTGGGCTTTCCTTCCTCCTCAGCTCCCTCGCCCTCCAACAACTCAATCTCCTATGAAACGAGGGATATTTTTCTGCAGCATCTTCAAAGGAATCCTGGAGTTGCTTAAAAAATTTACAGGCACTTAAACCTCCCCAGAAGATCCTTTTAAATAAAGAGCAGCAGCCTGAAAGCCTCGCCTGCTGTCTCAGCAGCACCCATCAGTCCCTCTCAGCTCTGCCATCCAGCATCCACCAGGAAGGAGCTGATTCACAGATCACCAGGACAAAATTCCTGGGAAAATCTCCTTGTGCCGTGCAGGGGAAAGTTTGGTGAGTGGTTTTCTTCTCGTGCCTGCTAGCAGGAACAAAAAGTGGGTTAAGTAGCCATAGCAACTGAGTTGCAACAACTGGAGGAAGAAAAAGACCTGGCTTACCACTACCAGGGGGAAACATCCACAAAAATGAAGGAAAATGAATGGAAACAAAGTGGAGGTGCCTGAGGCAAAGGTTTTGACCACATTTGGAGAGCTTCTCTTGTAATCCAAGTACACTTCCTATTTCAGAGCGTTGCTTGATGCTGTCAAGTCTCCACAGGAGAAAAGGCTCGACTTTGCTGCTGCCATGAGCATCCACACAAGCACTTGCAGGAAGTGGAAATGTCGCTCCTGTATCCAAAATCCACCCAATAATCCCAGGGAACATAACTATGGATAATTACAGCCCCCCTGCCACTCAAATCCCTTCATACCCCAATAGCTGGGCACCACAAAAGCTGTGGGCTGTGCAGGGCCCTTTGGGAGTGCTGCAGGCTCCAGCAACTCCGAGTTTCTCTCCCAGTTTTGATGTTGTTTAGAATTCAAAGGAATTCTAGAATTCTAGAATTCAGGGTCTCAAGAGTGCTGGACATTGAGGTGGCATCACCTCGAGAACCTCTTCAGCATGGGCACCACTGACCATCCTGGATCAGGGCCCAGGGACCCTCCTTTTGTACAGCAGGGCAGTGTCCAGCCGTTTCCATGAGTGCATTTGGGAATTAAGCCCAGGTTTGGACACTTGTGACCCAGCAAGATATTTTTTAATGGAAGGCAGAACTGCAAACTTATTTTTGAACATGAAAAAGCACAACAAATGAGTAGGTCTTGATGATAAATGTATGCACATCCCCTCAGACATGGTCAGAGTGTCTTTCACTCCCTGAGATCCCAGAGCACCTGGAAAATATTTCCATGAATCCTCCCCTCTTCAAAGCAGGGCTGAAAGCTCCCTCCAGAGAGAGAATCCACGCCCGGGGCAGAATCATCTCCTTCAGAGCACACAGATACCTGAGCAGGGTTTCAAACAGAATGTAAAGAAGATTCCTGGTTATAATTCAAAATAAACCAGCAGGGAAAGTGTGGGAACACCTCAGGAGCTCGCTGATTGAAAAATACACCCGAAATCTCCAGAGACAGGGACTGGTGATGGGATTCTCAGAAAGAAAACACCAAGTGCATAAAGAAAAGGGGGTTTAAGATGCTCCTGAAGCATCCCTTGTGCTTCCTGACAGGAACCTGCCACCAGAGAGATCTGGAGAGGCTGGGGATGCCCTGGAAGTGTCCAAGGCCGGGTTGGACAGGGCTTGGAGCAAGCTGGGATAGTGGAAAACGACCTTGCATGTCGGAATCTGTGGTATTGATGATCCCGAGGTTGTAGAAAGTCTCTGTCTGTCAGCCCCACTGCCAAAGCAGAAGCCATAATTGGTCTGTGCTGTTTCAAGGTTGTTTATTCTGTTTATCTCTAACATGTTCTGCTGCCCTGCCGCAGCTCTGTCCTGCAGGGCAGCGTGTGGGGCTCTGCCCTCAGTGGGATGGTACAAACATTAAATACCACAAACTACCTGTGCTGGATTTACAATAACGTGCCAATATCTGTCACCTACGTTGGACAGTGTGTCCCCAGCCTGAACCAACAGAAAAATGCCAACACCACAGTGAAACATGGAGGGCATGAAGAAGGAGAAAAAGGACAAGACACACCCAATTTCCTCCATCTTGTCCCCTTTGGACCCCTTATCTAGAATCGTACAATTTTACTTTTGCACCCGTGCCACACTTAATTATTACTTATATCAAACACTCAGAGCTGGTAATTGATCCTGTAAGATTGAAAACTCTTTTCCATGGGCAGAGATCACAGCCAGTGTCTCTGGGGGCTCTGTCCAGGGGGGTTCCTGACCCCTGCCAGGGTCCCAGACCTGCCAGGGCAGCCAGAGGGAAGCTCTGCATTCCCAGACCTGTACATGGCAAGGCGTGGAACAAAATCATCCTTAAGGTCCCTTCCAACCCCAACCATTCCATGATTCCCGAAAAACCAGAGCAGGCTGAAATCCCCCAGAACAGTGGGACAGGTCAAAACAAGGCGTTGGAGCCAACAGCACCGAAAGGAGCCTTTGAAAGGGCACTTTGAAATATCCGTGTGGATAAATCAAAATCTCCAATTCTCCAGCTGCTGCCTGACCTGCTCGGGCATGTTTGGATTCACAACAAAGAGGAGCTTAAAAGGCTGAGCAGGCCAGAGGGGACAGGGGGACAAGTAGGGAAATCTGTCCTGCCCAGACATCAAAAGGAACGAGGTGGTTTAGATAAAGACATGATTAAACAAGTCATTTTGGAGCTGCACAAAAGGAGCTGGGACATCAAACACAGAGAGAGAACAGGTTTTCCTTGAAACAGCAAAAAAAAAAAAAAAAAAAAAGGCTCTGCTCACAACTTCTCACTGAAACCTCCTTAAAATCACACAGGAAGTGCCAAAGTTTGTGTTCATTCAAATCTAAAGCTGGAATAGCAAATCAGGCATGAATGTGATGGATTGACTGGGATTTTAACTGCTGGAGCAGCTCTGATTTTGGGGCTCTCTTACATTAAAACACCTGAGTCAGTCAGAAGGGGAAATGGGAGAAAAACAGCTCCAGGAAAAAAAAATTGAAAAAAAATTTGAAAATAATAATAAAAAAGTAAAAAAAAAAAAAAGTAAAGTAAAATAAAATAAAATAAATTAAATTAAACAAAAGAATAACCCTGACTCCCCACATAAAAACCCTCACTCCCCAAAATTCTTCCTTTTCCTGTGTATGGAGTACGTGGTGTAATCCCAGCACTCCCAGATCTGTCAGCTAGGCATGGAGCTGTGATATTTAAGAGTGAATCAAAGAGTGTGAAATGTGAGAACAGTATTAAACAGCTGTAAACAGCTTTCCAGTCACAGGTTAAAACATCTCAACAGTTTTTATTAATATTGTGTGTCATAACAAAAACCAGCAACGTATTGAAGCATTTGAAAGCCATGAAAGCCTTGAAATTTAAGTTTGGGGATCTGATTTTCCTCTGCCACCAGGATAAATCAAGAATAACATCAGTGACATTAATAGCAGAGCTATATAGAATCCAGATTATTCCTTTTCTAAGAAAAGCTTCCAGATATTTTTTCCCTCTGAAGAAAAGGCAAATAACACACTGAAAAATTCACCAAAATCAAGTCAATTTGCTCCAATTTCTACTCGAAAAATCCAAGTAAAGAAAACAAATAAAATCACCCCAAGGTGAAAACTGGAAATGGGAGATGCCTCTTCCTCACTTGCCCCGTTTCAAATTTCTCCACAAACACAACATTTGCTGAAACCAACAATTTTTTGCATAATATTTCATTCTCAGCCAATTAATATTCCAATTGGAGAAACCTTCCAAGAGAAGAATTCCTGAGCAGTGTCACAGGCTGAAAACGAGGCAGAAATCCCTCTGACGATGCTCACCGCAGCTCTGGGGTCACTGCAATCAGGTCTGTTCCCAAACAAAGTACAGGCAAAAATGCTGCTGCAAGCAGGGTATTTATGAGGA